GCGGAATATTGCCCTAGTGAAGGAGATAAGTTAAGGAAAGGAGCAGAGTAGAGACTAGGAGGAGCGAGCAGCTACCAGGGTTTTCAGCAAGAGTCCCTGACTGATTCCTGGGCTGTGAAGTGGGTGAGTGATCAAGGCAGGCGTCCAGACATCAAGGGAAGATCGTCGTCCGGAATCCGTGACTAACGTCAGAGCTTTTGAGCACGTAGATAGAGTGTCTCCTTTGCCTCTACTTAGAGAGGGAGACTTGTCTCTGAAACTTTTCTCCTTGGAATTTAAAGGAAAAGAGAGAGAGAGGGAGACTTGTCTCCTTGGGATTTAAAGGAAAAGAGACAGGGAGACTTGTCTCTGAGACTTGTCTCATTAGGATTTAAAGGCAAAGAGAGAGAGAGGGAGACTTGTCTCCTTGGGATTTAAAGGAAAAGAGACAGGGAGACTTGTCTCTGAGACTTGTCTCATTAGGATTTAAAGGCAAAGAGAGAGAGAGGGAGACTGCTTACCCGATCTGAAGGTAGTGAGAGCTGTTTGGCACACTGAGAGCTGCTGGGCTGTCTGATGTGTTGAGGTCTCTGGTATCTTCCAAGAGAGGGAGCGTTTGTTGTACTGGCCAGAGCATATAAAGTCAACACCAAGACAAAAGTATGCCAAATTGCAGGGTCTTTATTGCTGGCGGCCACGGAGGACTCGCGTCTCTCCAACCCCTGGCCCCGAAAGGCCACGGGTTGGAGAGACGTAAAACCACATTTTACATGTAAAACCACATTTTATACCCGTAAAACCACCTTGGGGGCGAGGGTGAGGGGCGGGGGTGGGGGTGAGGGGCTTCAAGGGTGAGGGGCTCCGGACATTCCGAGGGCCAGGGGACTTTTGACATTCTGATTGTTAATTAAGTAGTTCACAAAAGTCAAGATAAGCATTTGTTTACACATTGTCTGGGTAGGGTGGAAATCACAGACCTTAATTACTTATTACAAGTCGCAGGGGCCAAGATGGCCTGGGTTTGGAGTGCCTGCCTGTCACATTAGGGTTACAGAGAGCAATTTCAAGAGAAAGCCAAGGTGTGGTTGAGGTATGCGGTTTTATGGGGCTTTTACCATGTCACAGTTGACAGGGGACCGGTCTCCCCAAAGGAGTACCCCTGTCCTGGGTTTTCTGCACCAAATGTTAAAATGCACGCTCTGAATGAAGAGACCCCCTCAAACAGGCTTTATGTGAGCAACATGGCTGTTTATTCACCCAGGTGCAGGCAGGCTGAGTCCAAAAAGAGAGTCAGCAGAGAGCGGTGGGATAGAAGTTGGTTTTATAGGTTTGCAGCAGGCAGTGGAAAGTTACAGAAGTTACAGTTTAGGGTGGTTTTTTGCAAGTTGGGAGGGGGTCATGGAGTCTGGAGTAATGAAGTTGACCAAGGTCGGTTACAAAGTCCAATGGCCTTATCAATTCAGCCTGGACTAAGAAATAGTAGAAGAATGTCTCAAGTTAGTTAGGCACCACAGGGGTTGATTGTTCTGCTTTTCATGGTCTTCCAGTTATTTCAGGTTTTCTAATTCAGGAAGGCTATCCAGAGGTATGTATGCGGGTCACGGGTGTCGCCATGGCATCCATGGCATTGTCAGTCAGCCTAAAAGACCTTACAGATGTGTCCTCTAATTTTGTGATTTCTTTATTTCTTCAGGACCACCTTTCATTTTCTACTGATTGCTTCCCTTCTTTTTTTTGAGACAGAGTCTCACTGCGTCACCCAGACTGAAGTGCAGTGGTGTGATCTTGGATCATTGCAACCTCTGCTTCCTGGGTTACAGCAATTCTCCTGCCTCAGCCTCCCGAGTAGCTGGGACTACAGGCATGCACCACCATGTCCAGCTAATTTTTGTATTTTTAGTAGAGATGGGGTTTTGCCGTGTTGACCAGGCTTGTCTTAAACTCCTGACCTCAAGTAATCCACCCATTTCTGCTTCCCAAAATGCTGGGATTATAGGCGTGAGATTACAGCAGTGAGCCATTGGACTCAGCCTGTTTTTATTCCTTTTACCAAATCTCCAAGGAACATCTCCCCTTCCAAGTGGGAATGTAACCTTAAACAAGTCAGTTAACCTCTTTGTGATTACTTTTCTTTTCTTTTCTTTTTTTTACTGGATTAAATGGCATAAATTAACAGACCTATGTGGTTACTTTTCTTATTTGCAAAATGACTTAATGATTTTAAGGACTTTTTTTTTTTTTGGAGACAGGGTCTCACTCTGTCGCCCAGGCTGGAGTGCAGTGGCATAATCTCTTTTTCTCTGATATTCGTTCACTGCAGCTTCCCCTTCCAGTTCAAGCAGTCCTCCCACCTCAGGCTCTTGAGTAGCTGGGGCTACAGATGTGCATCCCCACACCAAACTAATTTTTGTACTTTTTGTAGAGATGAGGTTTTGCCATGTTGCCCAGGCTGGGATTATACGTACTTTTTATCTATCTATATATTTTTTTTTGAGACAGCCTCACTGTGTTGCCCAGGCTGGAGTGCAGTGGTGTGATCTTGGCTCACTGCAACCTCTGCCACCTGGGTTCAGGTGATTCTTCTGCCTCGACTTCCCGAGTAGCTGGGACTACAGGCACGTGCCACCATGCTTGGCTAAGTTTTTTGTATTTTTGATAGAGGTACAGGGTTTCACCATGTTGGCCAGGCTAGTCTCAAACTCCTGACCTCGTGATCTGCCTGCCTCAGACTCCCAGAGTGCTGGGATTACAGGTGTGAGCCACCGTGCCCAGCAGAAGTACTTTTTATCATATAGCAAGATTGACAGTTTTACACTGGAACACGTTTATTTCTATATAATAGAGATTAACAGGGTAATGACAAGGCTGGGTGCAGTGGCACACACCTGTAATCCCAGCACTTTGGGAGGCTGAGATGGGCAGATCACTTGAGGTCAAGAGTTTGAGACCAGCCTGACCAAAATGGTGAAACCCGTCTCTACCGAAAATACAAAAATTAGCCCAGCTTGGTGGCAGGCACCTGTAATTCCAGCTACTTGAGAGGCTGAAGCAGGAGAATCACTGGAACCTGAGAGACGGAGGTTGCAGTGAGCTGAGATCGTGCCACTGCACTTCAGCCTAGGTGGCAGAGCAAGACTCTGTCTCAAGAGAAAACAAAAAGAAAAAAAAAATAGGAAAATGACAAAAAATAATATTACAACTCAATGAATTTTATAACAAACTTTTTTGGAATTCATTGACTAATACTATACCAAATCCAATATACTTTATAGTATACCAAATCCAACTCCGCTCTATAGTATATATTTGATTCTATTTGGACTTGTCTCACTAATCCCTCATACAGTGTATTTTATTTTTTGCTGAAGTAAAAAAAATGGTCATTTTAGCCATTTTTAAATATATAGTTCAGTAACATTAAGTATTTTCATATTGTTGTGCCACAGATCTTCAGAACTTTTTCATCTTGCAACCTGAAACTACCCATTAGCAAATCCCAAATTCTCCTTCCACTTAGCCCTTGTTAATCATCATTCTTTCTAGTTCTATGAATTTGACTCCTTTAGTTACCTCACCTAAGTGCATTCTTATAGTTAGTGTGTTTGATTTTGCTTCCATGCCTCTTTGTTGTTGTTCATGCTGTAGTTGTAATGCATTCTATTTTGTCTACCTATGCAAATCCTATTGGTTTTTTGTTTTGTTGTTGTTTTGAGACAAGGTCTCAATTTGTTACCCAGGCTGGAGTGCAGTGGCTCCATCTTTACTCACTGCATCCTCAACTTCCTGGGCTCAAATGACCCTCTCACCTCAGCCCCACAAGTAGCTGGGAGTACAGGCATGTGCCACCATGCCCAGCTAAATTTTTGTATTTTTAGTAGACATGAACTTCTTACCATATTGCCCAGGCTGGTCTCGAACTCCCAGACTCAAGCAATTCGCCTGCCTCGGCCTCCCAAAAATGCTGGAATTACAAGCATGAGCCACCGTGCCCGGCCCAAATCCTGTTGGTTTTTATTTCTTAGGCCTGTTTCCTCCATATGATCATTCAGTATACATTAATTTCTTTCCTTTTCAATTAAAATACTAACTGTTTATATTTCACATTTTGATGTTCAGAATTCCTTAATACTGTTTTTTGTTTTGTCTTATGTGACAGTCTTAAATCCCTAGTTAGATCGTATCTCTGGAGATTAACATATTTCCATATATCTCTCAGTGACTTTTATTATTACTGTTATTATTATTATTATTTTGTTGTTGTTAGACAGGGTCTCCCTCTGTCACCCAGGCTAGAGGGCAGTGGGATGATCATAGCTTACTGCAACCTCCAACCCCTGGGCTCATGTAATTCTCCTGCCTCAGCCTCCCAGTTAGCTGGGATTATAGGCATGAGCCACCATGTCTGGATAAAAATATTTCCAGGTGTGGTGGAAATGAAGGAAGGAAGGAAGAAAGAAAGGAGGGAGGGAGGGAGAGAAGAAAGAAAGAAACAAAAGAAAGGAAAAGAAAAGGAAAGAAACAGAAATTGGTACCGGGAAAGCAGGAAAGGGAAATGGAAATAAAAAATAATAATGAAAATAAAACAAAAATTGGTTAGTCACTGTTAACAGTTTGTATCCTTATAATCTAGAAACATTATAATTTCAAGACAAAAATTTACTTTGGATGATAGATTCTGAAGTCAGAATAGCATTCCCATAGTCTAAATGAAGTCAAGTTTTATCTGATCTTAATTGAAATAAATGTAGCTGGCTTTGCACAAATCTACTCATGGTCTGTGGGTTGGAATTAAATTGTAGGGGCATTCACTTGATGGCATTCATTCACCTGTGTCCAGCTTTGGGAGTCAAGTCACATAACCTCTAAGCAGGTAAGTTTCCTGTGGCTTTATTTAGGATTTTAAATATTCATTTTCAGTGTAATTTGGTTATGTGTGGATTGAGATGACTCTTGGTACTAACATACGTTTTCTGATTAAACCTACCTGATCATGCGTTGTTTTTATTTCTTACCCTTTCCAGAGCGATGATTCTGACATTTGGGATGATACAGCATTGATAAAAGCATATGATAAAGCTGTGGCTTCATTTAAGGTATGAAATGCTTACTTAGTTACTCATTTTTTAATTTTCTCTTATTACTCATTTGGAAAAGAATTGATAACATAAAGTGTTAAAGTACATGTTATTCAGTTTTCATTTTGAAGAGTAGTTGGTAATATGGGTTATTAAATCAGGTGGTGTCTTCCCTTAGAAGTTGATAGCCTGTATATGTCATCCTTTTTGTGGAGGCAATTTAAATAAAATTTAAGACATTTATTCCTGACTGGGTGCGGTGGCTCACTCCTGTAGTCCCAGCACTTTGGGAGGCCTAGGCGGGTGGGTCACTGGAGCTCAGGAGCTCAAGACCAGCTTGGCCAACATGGTGAACTTCTGTCTACTAAAAATACAAACATTAGCCAGGCATGGTGGCACGTGCCTGTAATCCCAGCTACTTGGGACACTGAGACAGGTTAATCGCTTGAACCTGGGAGACAGATATTGCAGTGAGCCAAGATCACGCCACTGCACTCTAGCCTGGGTGATAGAGTGAGACTCTGTCTCAAAAAAAAAAAAAAAGTATTATTTTTAGTATTTTTATATTGTATCAAACTGTAGAAGTCCTCTAATTGAGATTAATAGGAAAAGGACAGTCTGAATTATAATTTTAAACATTTAACAAGCATTTAATAAAATGATGACAATAAATAGCAGTAGTACAGTAATTAATACTTGTAGAATGCTGACAGTGCTCTACGTGCTTTGCACATGTTAAATTAATCTAATCATCCCAAATCCTATGAGTTGGGTATGAAGTCAAGTGTTCCTGTTGGGTAGGAGTATACAGTTCTTTTAGGAAGTGTAGTGTGGTTCTGTGGTTCAAACAAGACACTTAAATAGTTGGCCAACATCATCACCTTCTCCACTCTCTGAAGTGTTTAGTCTTACTGAGTAGTAAATATGGGTCATCAGTAGTCCAGGCTACCTTGAGCAAACAGAGCATATACTCATGCAGTGTATAAAGAGCACCAAGCATACTGAGTTCATATCTTTCTCATAGTTACTCTTGTGACATGAGCTAAGGATCAGACCTCTGTGTCACCTTTGTAGCTGAATTCTAGATTTCTTTTTCTTTTTTTTTGAGATGCGGTCTTGCCCTGTCACCCAGGCTGCAGTGTTGTGGCACAATTATGCCTCACTGCAGCCTTTAACTCATGAGCTCAAACAATCCTCTCACCTCAGCTTTCTGAGTAGTTGAGACCGCAGGCATGGGTCACCACACCCAGCTCATTTTTGTAGTCTTTGTATAGAGTCAGACTCACTGTGTTGCCCAGGCTGGTCTGGACTCCTGAGCTCCAACGATCCCTCCGCCTTGACCTCCCAAAGTGCTGGGATTACAGGAATGAGCTGCTGCACCTGGCCTAGATTTTTAAATGTGCTTTCCAATATACACTGAAACTGGAAGTCGACTAAAAAAGAATTACCAAGAGAGTTCTATAAAATAGAGATTGAAATGGGGCTCAATGTGGGATGGCTTGGTGATATTGCAGGGGGAAGTAATCTGAGTAAAGAAGGAAAAGAACTGATTTGGGAAAACGATAGTTTTAGTAGTGTTGAATTTGAGGGTGAAGATGTGAAATTGATCATTGGAAATGTTGGATTCAGCAAAGTCAGATCTGGATAATAGCTTCAGAAGTGTGTTTGCAGACTGTTGTAATTAAAGTATTAAGAATAGATGGCCTTAAGCAAGTAAAGAAGGATGGCCAGATTTATTGGGAATGCCTAAGTCTAAGGCTTGATCAAAAGTAATGAAAGCATTGGGGCCCTACATTGCTATGACATCCAAGGTGCCGTGAATGTCGGGAAGCAAGATAATTAACAGGGCCTAATGTTACAGAGAGAATGAGAGCAAGGAGATTTGATTAAAAGGGTCTTTAGAGCTGATAATCAGATATAATGCCTTTAAGAGCAGTTTTTTTTTTTTTCCCCATTTATTTTATTGCATTTTAGGTTTTGGGGTACATGTGAAGAACATGCAAAATTGTTGCATAGGAACACACGTGGCAGTGTGATTTGCTGCCTTCCTCCCCATCACCTACATCTGGCATTTCTCCCCTTGCTATCTCTCCCCAGCTTCACACCCCCCAAGAGCAGTTTTTATAGTGTAGGAAGTGGCCAAAAGGAAATAGATGCTTTCTGAGGTGGTGGATCCTTGATACCAGCTTATAGTGGTAACTGAGTTATGTTGTGACTTTTATTTTATGTACCACCCTGTAACATGTACATTTTTATTCTGTTTTCATAGCATGCTCTAAAGAATGGTGACATTTGTGAAACTTCAGGTAAACCAAAAAGCACACCTAAAAGAAAACCTGCGAAGAAGAATAAAAGCCAAAAGAAGAATACTGCAGTTCCTGTAAAACAGGTTATTTCAAAATGTTGAGATTTAACTTCAAAGGATATCTTGTTAGTCCTTATTTAATGTTAGTAAAATATCTTTAACTTTAGTGATTAGTACAGTGTTTCTATTGACATGCAATTATAAAACATCAAAAACAACTATTTTCTGTTTAGGAACATACATGTTAGTCATGAAAGTATAAGGAATTAGATGGGAATGATAAATCAAAAATCAGGACATGCATTCCATTTGTGAGTGGAAGGCGGGGAGAAGGAGATGCTGTTTGGGAGGAGTACCCAACGACTGTAAGCTGAATTAGCGTGTTACGTCTTAAGCTGAGAGATGGATTTTTTTTCCTTTTTTTTTTTTTCAAAAACTCTAGAACTATTAATTCCAAGGAACCCAGAAGTCTAGGTAGATTATTTCTGCTAGTTAAAAACAGTAATCCTGAAAGCTGAATATTTTGGTGTCTCATTAGCCAACTTTAGTTTCATCATTACCAAGGAGGAAGAGAGGCTAACAGTTGATGAGCACTTGCTCTAGGCCAGATCAGAGTGCTGGGCACCATATACATTTTCTGTCCTTCCTGCTCTTCACAGCAAATATGGGAAGTAACTTATATTATAGCCATCTAATAAGGTGGGGAAACTAAGACTCAAAGAGATTCAGAAACTTGTCCGTCATTATATAAGGGGAGAGTTGGAATTCAGATTTATGTGTTTAGACCCCAAGCCTTTCTCATTACATCATTTTGCCTTCCAAATTACCCTCTATTCTTCACCTCCCCACTGATCAAAACAAGATGATAATTTGCCCTCGTCAAAAGAAATGTTTGCACATATCTATCTTTGATTTCTTTTGTAGTGGAAAATCGGGGACAAATGTTCTGCCATTTGGTCAGAAGACGGTGGCATTTACCCAGCTACCATTGTTTCAATTGACTTTAAGAGAGAAACCTGTGTTGTGGTTTACACTGGATATGGAAACAGAGAGGAGCAAAATCTGTCTGACCTACTTTCCCCAATCCCCGAAGTAGCTAATAATATAGAACAGAATGCTCAAGAGGTAAGGATACAAAAAAAAAATTCAGTTTTTGGAAGCAGAGACTAGATGAGAAATTGTTAAACAACATAAGTAGTTGTCAGTTAGATACACTGGGGCATTAAGTTTTTCGTAATGACACCCTTATAACAAAAACCTACATATTTTTTCTTTTTAAAGAATGAAAATGAAAGTCAAGTTTCAACAGATGAAAGTGAGAACTCCAGGTCTCCTGGAAATAAATCAGATAACATCAAGTCCAAAGCTACTCCATGGAACTCTTTTTTCCCTCCACCACCCCCTATGCCAGGGCCAAGACTGGGACCAGGAAAGGTAAACCTTCTACTTATGAAAGGTTTCCCACAAAATAGTTAATATCAGGGTGTGTAACCTTTTTATTAACTAATTTGTAGCTCTCCCATGAAACCTTTGTAACTCTTGTTAGATGTTGTAAAGACACAAGAAATAAGACAATGAAATAAGATAATGATGCAAAATAGTTATTTTTTTTAAAAAAAACACCTTAGACACTGCAATGAATGCCACAAAATACTTTATGTGAAAGATTTATCCACCTTCTTTTGTGGAGTATTAGGTATTAGACTAATAATGAGCACACTTATTTAAGTTAGAAAGTATAATACTTTATCGTCAGCTGGATGACACGCTGTTGTTTCCCATGTCACCTGTATAAGATATGTAAAATAAGAACACATCATTTACATCTAATATAGATAAAATCTCTTGGCGCTCTCAGATTGTTTTGTAGAGTTCAAATGTAATTGTATTCATTTATGATCCTTGGATTATAAGTAACAGAAACTAGGTCTATTATGAGAAAACACTGAACATCTGTTTTAAAAAAAAAAAAACTAGTTCTAAAAAGATTTGTATTATAGGTTAGATTATGTCATGGAACCTAAGGGCTTGTCCCTTTCAGTTCTTTTGTGTAAACCAGCGATTTCTTCTGTGGAGGGAATGGTATTTAGGCAATAATTTTTTTTTTTTTGAGACGGAGTTTCGCTCTTACTGCCCAGGCTGGAGTGCAATAGCGCATTCTTGGTTCACTGCAACCTCCACCTCCTGGGTTGAAGCGATTCTCCTGCCTCAGCCTCCCGAGTAGCTGGGATTACAAGTGCCCACCACCACACCCAGCTAATTTTGTATTTTTAGTAGAGGTGGGGCTTCACCATGTTGGCCAGGCTGGTCTCGAACTTCTGACCTCAAGTGATCTGCCCACCTTGGCCTCCCAAATTGCTGGGATTACAGATGCCTGGCCTAGGCAATCATTTTTTAAAATGAAGCATGATTCATCTAAAGTTTTTCTTAAGATTTTCTGTGATAACTTTCTTATTGAGGCTGACATTATGTTATAGTTTCTTGAATCTAAAATGATAAATCCTCTTAGAGTGTATATATTATGCTTCTTTGGTCTCAGGGGGCTGATTTTTATAAGGTGTGAGATTTGCTAGTTTTTACAATATGTGCACTAAGTTAGCTTATATAACTAAACTGATTTCCATAAAAACATTATACAATTTAGTTAATGAAATTGGGGGGTATAGTCTTTTATGATTGAAATAATCTTGCTAAATAGACTGTCTGATTTATTAGGTAATTACCACTCTTATTTTGTTTTACTTCCTTAATATCTACCTAGAAAGGAAATGAGAAAAATCTAGGGGTTGTCATTTGAATTGAGTCTGTTTGACTTCAGGATTTTGGTGCATGAAATTTCACTTAATCTTTTTTATACGTATAATACAAATATTATTCTGGGTATTTTTATTTTTTTGATTTTTAATCATTTTTATTCATTTCATATTGAAATGGGTAAATTAATTTTCCTTTGAACTATTCCTTATAGCCAGGTCTAAAATTCAATGCCCCGCCACCGCCACCACCACCACCACCTCCCTTTCTACCACACTGCCTGCCTCCATTTCCTTCTGGACCACCAGTAAGTAAAAAAGCATGTATATATTAGATTTTGCCCTCACGTACAATTTGATATTTAGCAGAATAGAGGATTGGAAAATGTCATCGTAGACCATCCCTAGGGCCAGATTCTAATGGGTAGAAATTTGAACTAAACCTCTGGGTTATTTGTGTGTGTATTTTTAATTCTTTTCTGTTACCTAAATGCAGTGTTCTTGTAGTGCCAACTTTAGGCTCTATGTTGCCAGCTTCTTTCCTGGCAGAAGTTAGTATCTATTCTATAGGGAGGTTCCTGTTAGAAAGGATTTAATTATACCACATATAAGGGATTAGTATTTTAGTATTTGCCCTTCTAAGTAAAGTTGGATGTTAGTTTCTGATGTAAACTGGATTTCTTTCTTTTTTTTTTTGGAGGCAGCTTTGTCCCTGTTCCCCTGGATAGTGTACAGTGGTGTGATCTTGGCTCACTGCAGTCTCTGCCTCTGGGTTCAAGCGATTCTCCTGCCTCAGCCTCACAAGTAGCTGGGACTACAGGTGTGCGTCACCACACCTAGCTAACTTTTGTATTATTAGTAGAGACAGGGTTTTAGCCTGTTGGCCAGGCTGGTCTTCAACTCCTGACCTCAGGTGATCCGCCTGCCTCAGCCTCCCAGAGTTCTGGGATTACAGGCATGAACTACCACACCTGGCTGTAAACCGGATTTCTAACGGTAGATTTTTAGGTATTAACTATAGATACAAAGATACTTTTTGGCATGCCATTTATTGGGGTGGGGTTAGGACACATGTTCTACCCTTTACTTAAAATGGCCCTTGAAATGCTGTGTGAGCTCTTTGTGTTCATATTATGTGCGTGTGTTGAGGAAAAGCGTGAAAGCATTTGTACTTGATTTTTTTACTCATAGCTTCATAGTGGAACGGATATATAGTCTAATGAAATAAAAATGTTTAAACATTTTATGTCACTGTTAGTTGATCCTTGTTTAATTTAACTTTGTTGGTCTTTTGTTGTTACTAGTTGGCTTTCTCCAAATGCTAGATACGTTAAGAAATTTAAGGCTGGGTACAGTGGCTCATGCCTGTAATCCCAGCACTTTAGAAGGCTGAGGCAGGAGGATCACTTGAATTCAGGCATTTGAGACCTGTCTGGGCAATTTAGCAAGACCACATCTTTGTTTAGGGAAAAAAAAGAAAGAAATTTAAGTAGAAGATGATCTAAGCAAACATACACTTAATATCCAGCATTCACTATATAATATAAGTCTCCAGACTTTACTTTTTTGTTTACTGGATATAAAATATACCTTTTTCTGTCTCCAGATAATTCCCCCACCACCTCCCATATGTCCAGATTCTTTTGATGATGCTGATGCTTTGGGAAGTATGTTAATCTCGTGGTACATGAGTGGTTATCATACTGGCTATTATATGGTAAGTGATTGCTTAGCATCGTTTCCTGACAATGTTTTGTAGTTATGTGACTTTGTTTTGTAAATTTATAAAATACTACTTGCTTCTCTCTTTATGTTAGTTAAAAATAAAAAATACAACTATCTGTCTGAGGCTTAAATTACTCTTGCATTGTCCCTTAGTATAATTGTAGTTAATTTTAAAAGCTTTCATGCTTTTCTTAGGTTATTTTGATTATGTATAATCTAACAATATATTTAAATTCTTTTTCTAAATTTTTAAATTTCTGCTTTCATTTGAATTGATTGTAGAGGATGGAAAAGATGGGATAATTTTTCATAAAATAAAAATGAAATTATTTTTGTGCACAAAGATCTGGGGTAATATGTACCAAATTGAACCTTGGGGCCTGTGGCTTCAAACTTGTCACTTTATACATTAGTCTCCTACAGACAAGTTCTATTATATTTTAGTCAAAACATTTAAAATTATTTTTAAAAAGAAGCTCTTATGCCCTGCTAAAATTGTTATGTGATATTGTAGACACTTGAATTTTTAGTAAGTTAATATAGAATAAACAGCTGACTAAAAGGTATAAGTTTTTATTTTTATTTTATTTATTTATTTTTGAGATGGAGTTTTGCTCTTGGTACCCAGGCTGGAGTGCAATGGTGTGACTAGTAGCGATGGGGTTTCACCATGTTGGTCAGGCTAGTCTCAAACTCTTGACCTCAGGTGATCACCCACTTCTGCCTCCCAAAGTGCTGGGATTACAGGTGTGAGCCACCATGCCCAGCAGGTGTAAGTTTTTAAATGTATCATCTGTGTGTGCCCCCATTAATATTTTTATTTAAAAGTTAAGGCCAGATGTGGTGGCTCACACCTGTAATCTCAACATTTTGTGAGGCCAAGGCAGGCAGATACTTGAGGTCAGGAGTTCGAGACCAGCCTAGCCAACATGATGAAACCCTATCTCTACTACAAATACAAAAGAATTTAGCCTAGCGTAGTGGCACACACCAGTAGTCCCAGCTACTTGAGGAACTGAGTCAGGACAGTTGCTTGATCCTGAGAGGCAGAGGTTGCAGTGAGTCAAGATTGCACCACTGCACTCCAGCCTGGGTGACAGTGAGACTCCATCGCAAAAAAGAAAGGAAAAGGCCTGGCACAGTGGCTCACACCTATAATCCCAATACTTTGAGAGGTCAGGGCAGGTGGATCACTTGAGGTCAGGATTTTTAAGAGTAACCTGGCCAACATGGTGACACCCCATCTCTACTAAATATATAAAACTTAGCCCAGTGTGGTGACAGGCAGCTATAGTCCCAGCTACTTGGAAGACTGAGGCAGGAGAATCACTTGAACCTCGGAGGCAGACGTTACAGTGAGCCAAGATTGTACCTCTGCACTCCAGCCTGGCCAACAGAGTGACTCTGGGGAAAAAAAAAGTCTCCCTTCAGTTGTGGTATAACCTTGGTATATTTGTATGTATTATGAATTCCTCATTTTAATGACCAAAAAGTAACAAAACAGCAGCTTGTAATTTGTTTTGAGATCAGTTATAACTCTAAGCTTTTATGGTTTTTTAAATTATGAAATATTTGAAAAAATATATAATGTATATATAAAGTATCGGCATAATTTATGTTCTAAATAGCTTTCTTGAGATATAATTCACATGGTGTGCAGTTTACCTTTGAAGGTATACAAGTCAGTGGTTTTGGTTTTCACAGTTATGCAGCCATCACTACAATTTTAGAACATTTTCATCACCCCTAAAAGAAACCCTGTTACCCTCATTTTCCACAGCCCTTGAGAGTCAGTACACTTTGTCTCTCTCTCTCTCTCTCTCTCTTTTTTTTTTTTGAGATGGAGTCTCTCTGTCACCCAGGCTGGAGTGCAGTGTCACGATCTTGGCTCACTGCAACCTCTGCCCCCTGAGTAAAAGCAATTCTCCTACCTCAGACTCCTGAGTAACTGGGATTACAGGTGCGCACCACCATGACTGTCTAATTTTTGTATTTTTTGTTGAGATTGGGGTTTCACTGTGGTGGCCAGGATGCTGTTGATCTCCTGACCACGTGATCCACCTGCCTTGGCCTCCCAAAGTGCTGGGATTACAGGCGTGAGCCACTGCGCCTGGCCTTTGTCTCTTTTTTAAATTTTGAGATTCAGTCTCGCTCTGTCACCCACGCTGGAGTCTAATGAGCGATCTCGGCTCACCTCAACCTCCACCTCCCAGGTTCAAGCAGCTCGAATGCCTCGGCCTCCCAAGTAGCTGGGATTACAGGGTGCCTGCCACCATGCCCAGCTAGTTTTTGTATTTTTAGCGGAGGGGGGGTTTCACCTTGTTGGCCAGGCTGGTCTCAAACTCCTGAGCTCAAGTAATCCGCCCACCTCAGCCTCCCAAAGTGCTGGGGTTACAGGTGTGAGCCTCTTGACCAACAACATCCAGATGTTTCTGTTTCTTTTACCTGAGTTTGAGCAGCAATTGTTGGGCAGAGCCTTCTCCAGAATATTTGCTACAAATTCTGGCTAACTATAGAAATGATCCTTATTTTTAGAAGTATTTTCTACATATTCATTAAAGTTAATTAATTAAAATATAAGAACTTCAGTTTGGAAATGTTAGGAAATTCCAGTTTCCTTAGCTTACATTTTTGTTTCTTGGAATTTTATTTGTTATTTTTTTAAAGACAGGGTTTCACCATGTTGGCCAGGCTGGTCTTGAACTCCTGACCTCAGGTGATTCCTCCCCCCTCCCCCCTGCCCCCAGCCTCCCAAAGTGCTGAGATTACAGGCGTGAGCCACCATGCCCGGCGTCTCTTGGAATTTTTATCATTAAAAAAAATAAGCCGGCTGGGCACAGTGGCTTACGCCTGTAACCCCAGTGCTTTGGGAGGCTGAGGTGAGGTGATTGCTTGAAGCCAGGAGTTGGAGACTGCCTGGGCAACATGCTGAGAGCCTGTGTCTACAAACAGTTTTTAAAAAAATTAGCTGGACATAGTGACATGCACCTGTTATCCTTGCTATTTGGGAGGCTGAGGCAGGAGGTTCCCTGAGCCCAGGTATTCAAGGCTGCAGTGAGCTATGAACACACCATTGTGTTACTGACCATGTGGTGTTCAGCTCTTAATACAATAGAAATTGTGAGGCCAAAGGAATTTTCCTAAATAAGGCTTTCTTGGAGCATATGCCCAGGTATAAGGGAGGCAGCACAAGAGAGAGACAATTTTCTGGCTGACTCCCCAGAGAGAGTTGGAAAGGCAGTTTGTTAGAGGCTGTCATGGGAAAAGAGTGACTTTAAGGTATGTAGAGGCAGGGAACTTTTAGCACTTGTGCAGTTTCATAACATGCTTTTTCATGCTTGGCATGTTGCATTAGCATGTTAACATCTCCACCCTAGGTGTGATTTTTAGTATTATAATGAAGCTAAGGTTAAGGATTGTTCCTTCTCCTGGCCTTGTGTGTATGCTGGAGATAGGGCAACTCCCTTGAGTAAGATTTATAATGGGAGCTGCAGCTTCAAGGCCTCATAATCAGTAGGTATGGCCCCTTGAGTGAGATTTATGGTGCATGGTCCAGATGGTTTGGTTGGGGTCTCCACCAACCATAGGGCCTCCCTTGCACCAGCCTGCAGTAGAGGTCCTTGGTGGGGTAGGAGAAGGAGGCGCTGAGTCCCGTCCCTACCCTGTCTCAATTGTACTTCAGCCTGGGCAACAGAGAGAGATGCTGTCTCTAAACAAACAAAAAGAACAAACCACTGCTGATTGTTAGGTTTTCCAACAGCTTAAGTGTGGTTTTTTGTTGTTGGTTTTGTTTAATTTTTTTTTACATTTTTAAAAATAGAATCAGGGTCTTGCTCTGTCTCCCAGGCTGAAGTGCAGTGGCACAGTCATGCCCGGGCTCAAGTGATCCTCTCATCTCAGCCTCCTGAGTAGGTGGGACTACAGGCACAAGCCACAATGCCCAGCTGATTTTAAAATTTTTAGTAGAGATGAGGCCTCCCTGTGTTACTCAGGCTGGTCTTGAATTCCTGTGTTCAAGTGATCCTGTCACCGTGGCCTCCCAGAATGGTGCAACTATAAGTGGGAGCCGTTCCCCGGCCCAGCTTAAGTATTTTTAAGATGTCATTGCCTTATGCTAGCAGTTCTTAACCTTTGTTCTACAGAAGCCATGTGGTTGAGATAGGCTCTGAGTCCAGCTCTTAACCTCTATCTTATTGTCCTAAAAATCTAAGCAGAATGCAAATAACTAAGAATAATATTGTCAAAATAATATAAAATAGGTTATAACTGTGGTACTCGTTAGTAACAAATCTTTCACTATATCTTAAAATCTGTAAGTTAGTAATGAAATGGGAAGCTGCTGCAAGCTAGTGTACATACAGAGAGAGAGAAGGCATTGAAGCCAGAAGAGAGAGGACATTTGGGCTAGATCTGACCAGAAAAAAAAAAACAGATGTTTTAGTATTAATTTTTGTTTGGCTTTATTTTTTTATTTGTTTATTTATTTATTTATTTATTAGTGAGTGCTGGTCTTTAATGGTCTCATTTTAATAAATGAGTATGACACAAGTAGTTTAAGGTTGTTGCAGGATGAGCCGCTGACAGAACCCCTCAGACACCTGAGTGAGGAGGGAAGAGACTTTATTCACCTGTGGAGCACTGGTAGACTTGCGTCCAAAAGCCGAGCTCTCCAAAAAGCAGTTTCTTTCCCTTTTTAAGGGCTTACAACTCTAAAGGGGGAACTGTGAAACTGTGTCATTGCCCATTGGCTGGGCAGCTGACCTCACAGTCTTTAGCTTTTATTGATTTGCTAATTTATATTTGGCATGCACAGGAAGGGAAGAAGGTAAAGGGCTACAGGAGCTGAACAAAGGCAGTAAATCACTTGGTGGCAGATGCAACTCTAAGTGGGGGTGTGGACTGTGCAAACATGGAGGACATGACTGGAGGCAGGTTCCTGGGTCAGAAGAAGAACATTTCTCTGCTACATTCTCAGGGTTTATAGATAACCTAGGCACCTGTTATAGAAGGGGAGTTATTTTCCCAGCCCTCAGGCCTCTCTGCAGCAAGGCCACTGGTGTCAGCTAGTTGCCTGACTTACTGACTTCAGCTTCTTGCTATTTTACTTTTTCTACCAGCAAGCAACAGGCAGGAAATAAATGTCTTCCTCTCACAAGGTCATATATTTTATTTGATGAAAATAAGGTGTAAGTGGGCTCAGGAATATCATTGGACATATTGAAAGAAAAAAATGTTTTTTGAATTTTCTAAATTTGAATTTTATATTTTAGAGACTGGGTCTCACTTTTATTGCTCAGGCTGAAGTGCAAGGGCACATTCACAGTTCACTCAGCCTTGACCTCCGGGACTCACGCAGTCCTCTCACCTCAGTTTCCCGAGTGGCTGGGACTACAGGGATATACCACTCCACCTGGCTAATTTTTATCTCTTTATTTATTTTTATTTTTAAATAGAGTATCACTCTGTCGCCCAGGCAAGAGTGCAGTGGCCCAGTCTGAGCTCATTGCAACCTCCACCTCCTGGGTTCGAGCGATTCTCCTGCCTCAGACTTCCGAGAAGCTGGGATTACAGGCGCTGGCCACCATACCCAGCTAATTTTTGTATTTTTAGTAAAGACAGGGTTTCACCATCTTGGCCAGACTGGTCTCAAACTCATGACCTCAGATGATCCACCAACCTCAGCCTCCCTAAGTGCTGGGATTACAAGCCTGAGCTACTTTTATTTTGAGACAGCATCTTGCTCTGTCACTTAGGCTGGAGTGCAATGGTGCGATCTCGGCTCACTAACCTCTGCTTCCTGGGTTCAAGCAATTCTCCTGCCTCGGCCTCCTGAGTAGCTGGGGTTACAGATGCCCACCATTATGCCCAGCTAATTTTTTGTACTGTTAATAGAGACAGGATTTTGTCGTGTTGGCCAGGCTGGTCTCAAACTCCTGACTGCAGGTGATCCACCTGTCTTGGCCTCCCAAAGTGCTAGGATTACAGACATGAGCAACTGTGCCCAGCCTGTGCTACCATGCCTGGCCTAATTTTTTAATTTTTTGTAGCGACAGAGTCTCATTATGTTGCCCAGGGTGGTATCAAACTCCAGGTGTCAAGTGATCCCTCTACCTCAGGTTCCCAAAGTCGTGGGACTGTAGCCATGAGCCACCAGTGCAAGAAAAACTTAACTGCAGCCTAACAATTGTTTACTTTGGGATAATTTTTAAAGCACATTAAAAGACTGCAAACCTATTTTCTGATATTTTATTGAATAAAATAAGTAAAATGTCTTGTGAAATAAAATACTTATTAACATCTGTATAAAATATATATGCTGTTCTTCTAACTTTGATTTCCTTACAGGGTTTCAGACAAAATCAAAAAGAAGGGAGGTGCTCACATTCCTTAAATTAAGGAGTAAGTCTGCCAACATTATGAAAGTTAATTTTTGTAAAACTTTATGGTTTGTGGAAAACAAATGTTTTGGAGCATTAAGAAAGTTGAAATGTTAAAAAGTTGAAAGATTAATGTAAAACAATATTAAAGACATTTTGATGCCACAACTGTTAGATAAAAGGTTAATCTGCATCCCTACTAGAATTCTTATGGTGTCAAAGTATCAGCTCACCAAATACTGGTGGGTTGTGTGGAGAAAAACATACTTTCACAATGAAGAGAGCTTTAGGATATGATGCCGTTTTCTACCACTAGTAGGCAGAGAACCAGACATGTTTTTTGATTGTGATACAGGATGACCTAGGCATACTGCACTGTACACTTTATGACATATGAAGTGCCCTAGTTAAGTTTAACGGGTGTCCACACAGGACGTGGTTTCACTGGAATTTGTCTTTTTTGTTTTGTTTTGTTTCACTGGGATTTGTCAAGCCTCTGGTTCTAATTTCTCGTTTGCAGGAAATGTGGCACAGACCAGCAGTAAATGACATGACTGAAGAAACGATCAGACAGATCTGGAATGTGAAATGTTACAGAAGATAACCGGCCTCATTTCTTCAAAATATCAGTGTTGGGAAAGAAAAAAGGAAGTGGAAAATGGGTAACTCTTCTAGAGTAAAAGTTATGTAATAACCAAATGCAACGTGAAATTTTTTATTGGACCCTATTTTGAAAAACCATTGTAAAAGACTGGGGTGGGGTGTGGGGGTGGGGGCAGCACACTGGTGAGGCAGTTGAGAAAATTTGAGTATGGACTAGATTTCGAATGATATTGGATAATTATTGCTAATTTTATGAGCTGTGAGAAGGATGTTGTAGTTTATAAAAGATTCTTAATTTGCGTAGTTAAGCATTTAGGAATGAAGTGTTAGATGTCTCGTAAAATGGTTTAACAAAATGTATGTGATGCATATGTGGCAAAATGTTACCAAATCCAACTGATATGTATATGGCTATTCATTGTACTATTTTTTTTCTATCTTCTGTATGTTTAAAAGTATATAATAAAAATATTAATATTTTTTTAAAAATTAGCTATGTGTCTACAAACCACAGTGCTTCCATTATTCATGTAAAAAAAAAAAGAGAAAAAGAAAAAAAATTAGCTATGTGTCTGTGATTGTATTTCCTTTTTTTTGAGACAGGCCGGAGTGCAGTGGCATGATAGCAGCTCACTGCAACATCCACCTCCCAGGTTCAAGTGAGTATTCTGGCTCAGCCTCCCGAGTAGCTGGGACTACAGGTGCACACCACTCACCACAGCACCCAGCTAGTTTTTGTATTTTTAGTAGAGACAGGGTTTCACTATGATGGCCGGGATGGTCTCGATCTCTTGACCACGTAATCCGCTCACCTTGGCCTTCCAAAGTGTTGGGATTACAGGCGTGAGCCACCACGCCCAGCCTTGATTGTATTTCTTTTTTGCATATTATTTGGCACTTTTGCCCATATTTGTATATATTTTCATATGGATGCCACCATGGCATTTTGTGTATGTGCATGTGTATTTCCCCTTAATGTCATATTTTTCTTGTCTTTACATATTCTTTTTTTTGTTTGTTTTTGAGACAGTCTCGCTATGCTGCCCAGGCTGGAGTGCAGTGGTGCAATCTCAGCTCACTGCAACCACTGCTACCTAGGTTAAAGTGATTCTTGAGCCTGAGCCACCTGAGTAGTTGGGATTACAAGCCTGTGGCACCATGCCCTGCTAATTTTTGTATTTTTAGTAGAGACAGAGTTTCACCATATTGGCCAGGCTGGTCTCAAACTCCTGGCCTCAAGTGATCTGCTCACCTTGGCCTCCCAAAGTGCTGGGATTACAGGTGGGAGCCACCACTCCCTGGCCTCTTATTTTTTTGTAGAGACGAGGTCTCACAATTTTGCCCAGGGTGGTCTCCAACTCCTGGACTCAACCAGTCTCCCCACCTTGACCTCCCAAAGTGCTGGGTTACAGGTGTGAGCCATCACACCTGGCCTCCACCCAGCCTTCTTTTTCACCACCCCATCTACGTAATTTCCCCTCGTTGAAGCTGCTCTCTACTTATTTTTTTTTCTTTTTTTTGAGACAGAGTCTATCTCCCAGGCAGGCTGGAGTACAGTGGCACGATCTCAGCTCACTGAACCCTCTGCCTCCCAGGTTCAGGCAATTCTTCTGCCT